AGACAAACCAACAGACACACTTAGCGCGTTATATATAGTAGGATATGCATATATGTAAGTTACTGTATACAGTCAACTTATTGTTAATGAGTTTGTTATATGTAAGATAATAACTACAAGTCGACTACTGTATGATAGTTATACAAATTGCCATAGGATCATACGCGTGTGCTTAAACACTTATCAACAATACTAAATACATAAAACTATTACCACCAATAATAGTAAGCGAAACTTTAATAGGTAACAGAAGGTATAAACATATCGAGTTAACTCCGTGAATTTGCAGCACTTGCATATACGAGTTATGGCAGACTGCCTGCACAAAAAACCCTCTGTAATATAGCTCATTGGTTAAGCTCATTTGTTGCATTTGTATAATATTATTGATAGGTTGTACAAACTCACCGTTAAACTTTGGACTGTACAAAAACTTTCTGTCCCTCTATTCCCGCTAAGAAGGAGCTCAAGGCACCATTAAGAACTCACACTGCAAAAAAATCATACATATGTAGAAATAATGTGTACCATAAAGTATGTTAGTGATCAATAGTAGTAAGCTAAGATAGATACGATGGACGCATGGATTTGAGGTGCACACTTTCTAAAATGAATAAATCAATAAATGAATAAATAAAGTCTATGTAAATGCAATTTCCTGATGAGCTATGCAGATGTCGTATACGTTCACGAATATCTGATACACTACTGGGTTCAATTTCAAAACACGCGTCAGTGATACTGTACGCAACAATAAAGTTTTACTACAAACACTAGAAAGGAAGGCATTAAATCGATAGCGGAAGGTAAGAACATACCGGATTGATGCGAACGCAGGCTGCCGTTCGAATTACTTTCCCGCACGCTAGTGTTTCAATTTGAAACCACGTGACGGCCTTGAGGATAGCGTCGCGTATACCACTAGAACTAGAATGGCTCGCAGTGCCCAACCGACATAAGAATCAAGCACGATGTCTCCCTCTACAAGCCCTATACGACCATTTGATCGACTTCAGGAATAATGAAGTGATTATAGTGGGCATACTGATCTGAAATTTTATTTCCTACAATGCCGTATGTCAGCGTGGCATTTCTCCCCAGAACTGAAGAATGCGCTTATGTTGCGTGTATTCTCACAAAAGCATTATTAAAACAGAATTAAACCTAACATCACTGGGGGGCTGCATGAAAGTCGTTTTCCTGCAAAATCATTACTTTTCCATGCGTTTCTACTTCCCTTTTGAGTTAGGCGTTGAGGCTGCAACAAAATAGTTTTTTCTGGAAGCGAATTTTCAGAGTACTCAGGATATCAACCACTAAGCACTATATGCACCTCCGAGCCCCTAAAGTTTACTTCAATATGAGAAAACCTCAACTTGGAGTTAGGAATGGGGACATATCGAAGATAGGCAGACATTGGAAAATAACCATCACTGACAACTGGTGCTTAACGGCAGTGGAAAGACTCTATCTCACCTTTACTGTATGCCCCTTTCGTTAGAGCTCATAACGAAGGTTAGACTAACGAAGGGACACTGACCCAACTCCTCGTTACTCAGAATGTAGCGGAGAAGGTCACATAAACAACACATGTACAGTTTCGCATTCGCTTAGTAGAGACACACATAGGCGACACTAACACATTCGACTGGAGGCTGCCCAGTTTTAAAAAAATCCTCTATAATATAGCTCATTTAGTAGGCAGGTAAATTTTGATAATTAGAGATGCCAAACCACCTGTCCTTTACTCTAAATGTATACATTTAGATCACTCGCTTATCCTCATGGGTTATTTTTAGTACAACAAATACAATGTTACAGAAATAATAAGTACGTTTTATAGGAATTCGAGAGCATAAGGAACATCGCGAAACCTATGACTATGACACACTTACGAATGACATTGGCTTGAGACTTCTCCACGATAAGGATTTATGATAGCAGGATTTTTAATATCTTTGTGTAATACGGGTAACGCCGAGTTGGAATGGCTTAAACGATATGATGTATGGGTAAGGATAGATCTTCAAAATACATTTTCTACGCTTGTTTAAACACTGTACTTTATTGCACACTATACAGATTATAGGCGTATACAATTCTGCCAGTGGTTTCTATAACGATCTTATTGATTTTACAACCCTTCTTTTTAGCAATCATTCTTCTTTCAAGATTGATCTAGGATGACTGATATAAAAGAAGAAATCTGATATGCACTTTTACAATACTAATAGTCTTAGAAACAGAATGCGATTTGAACCGTTTTGTTCATTTTCTCACTCTAGCGAACAACCCACTTCAAACTCGCTGCTAGATCTACAACACGAAAAAACGCCGGGCGAGTTGTCCGCGACATTTGTCAAAATTTCGCGATAACTGTCTAACTCAAAATCAGGCAATTCGTTGTGGGAGCAATAGCAGCTATGTTCAAACGTAGATTAGTGCAACTTTCCTCTTATTCTTC